AAAAACTAGCTAATTACCAAGACTTATTAATAATATAATCAGGTAATTATACTTACTTTAATTAATAATAATATATAATATAAAAAATACCAAGTATATATATTATAATATATTAAATTTATTAAGTTAAAAGATAATTTATAATGTTATATATTAATAAAAGCTATTTAAAAATAGCATTTATTATTTAGAACCTGAAAATAAATATGTATAATAATCTTCTAGAAAAGGTAAAACTACTAATATAAATTTACTTAGTCATCTTAGCCTTTTTAGCTTTATTAGCTTTATTAGCTTTTTTTACAATAAATTTAATTGTTTTTTAGTATTATATTTTAGTTTAATATTTATAAAAGTTTTCCCTGATTTTATTCTCTTCCACAGGGTTACTCAAGTTATCAGGCCTAGCCGACTAGCTTACTCTCCACTTCTGCAAAGCTTCCCGTTCGGCAACTCGGTCCACCCTTCGTTTCCGACACAAGGATCACACCAAAAAACGTCATTAGGATCCAAGGAACGTTTAGCACGCAGGAGGCGCTTATAATTGCTGCCCCAGAACGCTTGCTGCCAGTCAGATTCGAATTTGAAGGCCTATAATCTTACATTAGCAACTTGATATTTTGGAGGGAAAGAGGGCATGTCCATGTTCACCTCATTGACGTAAGCCCCAGATGTCGGTGTGAGATTCCGCAGTCGCTCCATAGCAGAGTTGACAGTCGCAATAGCCTTCATTTTAGCCGCCTCATCAGACGGTGGGAAAGAAGTCCCGGTCACTATGGCACTGTTAGTATACCCGGGCTTGCGTCAAGGATTCGAGGTTTGGCACCTACAAGCATGTACATAAGCAGATCTCCAAGCTGGGTGAACGGAATTGCTACCCCCTTGAGGCTGTGCGTTGTTGACCCCTTGTACCCCAACTAAAAATGCCAGCATTCCCTTTCTCGGCTTCCACATGCTTGAAAGTGCTTCAGAGAGGGCCTGGGCATTTTCTGTTAAGGACTTTTGGTCCAGCAATCTTGAGGCCGGATATAGGGGGAATCCAGCCTTTCCCTGGTCATAGTTGTCATTAAACCAGGCATAGAAGGAGTCATATTCCTTGAGATCGATAGTGACGCTCGCTTTCCCAAGCCAACGCTCTTGGACAGTATCATTTATGGGCCGGAACAATTCGTAGGCGTAGTTTAGGTCTTTCTGATCCTGAAGAATGCACAAGCCCATTACACCACTGAGCTTCTCCGGCTTTCCGTCAATCAGAATGGGAGTTGTCCAGTCCTCGCCGATCATGGTGTAGCCGGATAGACCAGAATCCATCAGATACGGAACCTGTGACATGAGATAGGACGCTAAATTTGGCAAAATTGATAATTCCGCAGGGTTCACATTGACTCGCCAGACGACAGACGTCACTTTCGGCGAAGGCAATGCTTTCAGCGTTATTGACGTAATGACTCCAAATGTCGAGCCACCGCCCTACTTGAAACATAAGTAAGATGCCGCGAACAAAGTAAGCTGATTACTCACTCCTCTCAAAGCCCAAAACAGTCTCGGCCTTTGCTCCTCATTCACCGTTATGACGTGTCCGTTGGGGTCTACTAGTTGAATTTCCAAAACATTGTCTGCGGCGAGACCGTAGCGGGGAGAGAGAACAGAATGACCTCCTCCAGTAATGTACCCTGCCACGCCAACACTTTTAGATCCACCACCAACAACAGTTTGGCCATACTTTGCAGTTTCAAGGTAGATATCATTCATTTGGGAACCCCCGCCGACGGTAATAGCACTGCCTGGAATGACCTTGTCGGATCCATGTAATCGGAATTCATTAGCATGGTAAGTCATGGTATTGAGGTGATGGACCCAGATGGATAGAGCCCCTGGGGCTGTAGATCGGCCAAGATAGTCATGACCGGTGCTTTTGACGACAAGCCGGATATTATTGTTCCGTGCTAGATACGAATGTCAGCATCAGTTGTTCATACAAGATGTGTGGGATTGTACTACCAAAATTAACAGCGTGTTGTACGTGTTTTACTGTCGATGCATCGACAACATAGGCAGGATATCCGCGAGAGCTGCAAGGTGTGGCAGGGTTAGGCAGACAAGAGAAGTTTGAATACTGATTCCACATGACGGATACAGGGTCCGCATCATGGAAGTCATAATTCCACAAACGCTGTTTAATGGCGTCGCACGCCGCATCATCATGGGTGCCGTGTTCGTCAAGGCAGGCAACGGCGAGAGGTACAGACTTTATCAGCACGCCCCCCAGCGTCTTGTTGAGCTTTTGCCATGTCTCATCCGATGGCCAATTTTGGTCCCCAGGAAAGGCTTTGCAATAATTCGCCACCTGACCGGAAGCCTGGATGGCGAGGATGCCAAAGGACAGTAAGTTTCGGCACTTCATTTTATACTAGGCCGAGCAGGTATGCAGTGCAATTGTTGTCTTGTTGTACTGCAGTAGTGGAAAGTCGGGACTGCCTCTCGCAACAGTACTAGCAGCGGGTCATGACATGTTTTATAGTCTAACAATCCATTGCGGTTTACTGTGCTGCATGTAGGATATACCTCACCCACGATATTGGAACAAGGGAATGTTGTGCCAAGCAGCGCCAAGGTAATATCAAGGAAACTGCCAAGATGGTAAGACATGTGTCATGAGCGATGCCTGAGGCTGCGGACCCATCCGATGTGAGCAAATTAGGTCGGAGCTATCATGCACCAGCCATCGTGTTGCGGGCTCCTTTCCTCTTTTATTCCTTGTCATTAGAGAAATAATTGTACGGCACCGGCACCCTTGTGGTGTGAGCGACATAAAAGGCAGCTCCGCGCTTATTGCATCGGGCGTATCTTACGGCAATCTCCGTTCGCCAAGCAACACAGGCTACAGCTACGGACATGCCGTGTAGACGTGGCAATCCGGCGGTGTTTATGCATAAACCCTCCAGGCGTCTTGGCAAGTTTTAGCAACCCGATTCCAAACCCCGTGGCCCACACTATATTAAATCTCTCGAGGCTCTTTCTGAAGTCTCGGACAAGTTGCCTTGCACTGTCTTCTGTGCTTGGTACGGATCCCGGCGGGAGCCATCTTCTCTTGTCGACCATTTTCTCCGTCCTTGTTTCCGTCTTGGATGGTTCCGCCGGCTGCCTCATTGGGGTTACAGCCTCTTCCCCATGTTGTGGGGCCCCCCGCACACTCGCTGACCCCGCACCAACGTCCGTCTCTAAATAATATGGGTTTTAACTAGACTTTTAAAGCTAATAAATTTCTGGTTATATTTTAAGTAAGCATAATATAATAATATAACCTATAACCTAATTATACTTTAATTAACCTATTTTTATAATTAATTTATATTACTAATATATTAATAATAATTAAATTATAAAAGCT